TCCAAAGCTACACAGAGAAACCCTGTCTCAAAAAACCAAAAAAATAAATCTTCACACACAGCACACCCCACCCCATTCACACCAAGAACACCTTCTCCCTGATAAACATACTCCTCATTCCCTTTATATATGCTTCTTCTGTGATCCAGAAACAGCCTGGAAAAAACATGGTTTGGTTTGAATCACTGCTCTGGTTAGGTGGCTCTGGCCAAAACACTTCACCCTTCTGGGGCTGTGTTTATTCATTCATTACTTACTTATTTGCCTGATCCATAGAAATAGTAATATAGGGTCTAGAGAGATAGCTCAGACATTAAGAGGACTTACTGCTCTTAGTGAGGACATGGCTTCAGTTCCTAGCAACCCCCTGGTGACTCACAACCACCCACGACTCCAGTTCCAGATTTGATGCCTTCCTCTGACCTCTGCAGAGACACTCATGGTGCACATACAGACATGCAAGCAAAACACACCTGTATACATAAAATAAGCCTAAAAATGTTAGGTAAATAATAATAATGGCCATTCATGGCCTTGGAGATGACATTGTGTAAGCTATGTGCAGTATTTACACAGGGCTTGATACATTTTTTTTTTTATCAAATGACAGCAACAACTAAGACAAGGGAGAATTTAAATGACATCAAAGTCACGTGGAATGATAATTCTAACAGCTGACTTATTATGTCATCAATCAGACCTGTTAACATCTGGTCTGGAGATTTTTGTGCTAGAAGACATGGATTTTTCTAAGGTCCTTGAAGCAAGAGAGATGACATTAAGGAATCAGGTGATGTTCATCATAATCCTTCAGTTTACTGAGCATCACCACACTCGCCAATCGTCTTCCCCTCACCACCACCCTCACTACCATCTCACCATCACCCACTCTCTACAAAACGGATGGGATGGAGTTTCCTCCTATTTGTTATGCTTTTACTAACTACTAAATATGCTAACAGACACCCTGCACAGAACTCCATGTGTTCCATCTCATTAAACCCCTATAACAACCCTCTGAACTAGGTATTATTTTCATCATCATTTAGAATGAGGAAGCAGAAGCTTGGGGAGTTAAACACATTGCCCAAAGTCATGCAGCTGACATCTGTATCTGACACAAAAGCCCAGGTTTTTCCTCTAAGCTTGTATGGAAATGCATTTGGAAAAGTTTATGGTGACTGACAGAAAGGTTGGCGTGTTCATTCTAACTTCCAACTTTCATACAATCTAAAGGATCCTACACCCCAGCTGTCCAATATCCCAAGTTATCAGACACAGCCCCCCAACTCTGAAGTCCCAAGATCCTGCTGCAATCAATAAAAATCAGAAAGTAGGGGAAACTAGGAGACAAAGAGGAGAGAATTTCATGGAACAAAGAAGTTCCAGAAGTACCACAGAAAGAACATTTTATTAAGCCCTGAGACAGTGACTGGCTAAAACAAACACCTTCAATTGCCAAGCAAAATACATACCCACCTAGGAGACATGAGAGGAAGAAAAGTGAGATGGGGCTTCTAACAAAGTGGAGACACAGTCTCATACAAAGGAAGCTACTCCTCAGCTCAGCCAGGTGGTGCCAGTATTGATATAGGCCCAGAGTTCCAGATCATAGATTATTTTGGATGTTTGCATTTAAGTTTTATTTTAGTTTTGAGACAGATTTTTCACTATATAGTTCAAACTGGCCTCAAACTCCCAATCCCCCTGTCTCAGCCTCCAAATGCCTATGCTATCACACTTGACTCTGAATCTTCCATATTTTAAAGATACGCATGCAATGCTGGTTGCTCTGTATATTTGTCTTGTGGTCTTGTGTATGGGGAAGTCAGTCAATGCTCAAAGGATGCATGGCAACAGCAGATACTCAGGGAACCAGCTCTATGATGAGCATTTCTAAGGTGATGATAGTGAGCTCAAAGAGGGGGTCATCAGGAGAACTCATGAGAAAGAGCCAGCCTTGAGATAGACCTTAAGGAAATGCAGAGGGAAGAGGTGAAAGGTGAACCTGTATTTTCCACTGCTGACTCTATTTTTCCCAAATTATTCATCCTTATTCTCAAATCCTTCTGCCTCAAGAAAGGTTTGCCTGGCTACCTATTAGATGCTACTCCACTGCCTCAGCAGGTTACTCTTCTCCCATCACAGCACTGACTTTAATTTCTCATTGGACAGTGTGGGTTTGTTTGATCTCTGATCCACAGCACCTCACAGGGTATATTACATAATGCACAGAAGACACAAATGCTTGCTGAATGAACACCACCTAAATGAGGCATTTTGAGTGGTGACAACCGTAGAGAAAGGACACAAATCTTATCAAGGGGTAGAGGGCAGAGTACACATCTCACCCACAGTCCTTTGCTTTCTATTTTACAGCAAGTCAAAACCGTGAGATTTCAGAATTACAGCCCTCCTCCCACCAAACATTATGCCTCCCACCCCACCTCTGGAAAGCACGAACAGCCATCCACCTTGAAGGGGTCTCAGTCTGAAGCAAAACACACAGGAGCAGAGATGACCATCCTATTTGCCCACCGAAGTGGCTGCCACTCTGGACAACAGACAGACCTTCGGAGAAAGTCAGCTTTTGGCAAGACCATGCCCCCACTCTCCACCACTTCAGGCTCACAGACCATTTTTACCAGTCAGTGATTCTTTGGATGGCTTTTCTTAGACACAAAAGAGGTGAATAGCATGTAAATACAGTCTGCCTCCACTACAGGCATCCTACTGTTCTTCCAAAGGATTAGACTCCTTCATCTCCAAGCTTAACCTGAAAAAATGGAAAGGCAGAAACTCCTCCCTGGGTTGGTTGGCCTTCTCCATACATATACCCCCAATCCACCCCACCCCTGAGACAGGGTGTAGCCCTGACTGTCCTGGAACTCACTCTATAGACCAAGCTGGCCTTGAACTCACAGAGATCTGCCTGCCTCTGCCTCCCAATTGCTGGAATTAAAGGTGTATGCCACCACCACCCAGCATATTTCTAAACTTACTGATTTGATAGAGTCAAGCCCACTGCTTAAGCCAAAGAATGGGGACAGTGTCAATGCCTGTGCCCTCTGCATGCAGGGTTTGGCCTCTCATCCTATGTGCTCAATGTAAAACATCTCTGTATCCTAGGACAGCCAGAGTATGGCAGCAGTGACATTTTTCTCAGGGACTCTTTGATCCCATTACCATCCCCCTCTCTTTTCATCACACTACAACAGCCTCTGCCATCTTCTGAGGCTGTTGGTTTTCATTCCAACGTCAAGCTCCAGCTGCAAAGGGAGAAATGGGAGGCGAAGATATGGTATGAGATGGACATTTTGAACATTCGGAGAACCCACTAAAACTTAAGGGAGTTAACTTCCTGAGTTCGCTACAAACAAGGTCGTCGAGAATACTGACTACCAAATACCAAAAGATTATCATGTGTTACGCTTCTTGGCCTGTTTCTTCCCATATAATTCTATACAGTAGATAAGCAGGGAGCATAGAGAGGCAGATAAGGGACGTGGATGATATTATAGACTTTTCATCCTTCCCCTCAAAGCTTGAAGGCAACCTTGAATGCTCAGTGAGTTTAGATCTATATTCTGCTTGCATTCCAATATTTTTGTTCTCCTTAGCTCCTAATCATTTGGGCCAGATGACTATAAGACAATAGGGGAAGGCAGGAAGGGGTGCTCTTGGGAAGAGAGCTGTTATCAAAGGAAGTGGACAGAGAAGGCTTGAGAAGAAAAGGGAGATCGGAGGAATCAAGGAATAATCATGCATGCAACAAATACGGAAGAAGGGAAGAATGAACTTCTCCGGGAAGAATATAAAACAGGTGTGGTGGAAGCAGTGCTTACCCCACTGACAGATGAGGAAAACAACGACAGAATTAGCCATGGAGAAAGGGTCAAAACAAAGTGACTCCACGTGGATGGACTGGAGTGAGCAGGTCCAGCCAGGAAGGAGAGCAGCAAATGCAGCTCTAAGAGTCGGGGTCACGTTCTAAGACAGCCCATTAGTTCTCATTAAATGTAATTGTTGTGACTTAACATTCATCACATGCCTATCACTGTGGACACTTAGATGCATAAATGTCATTTGCTTCTAAGACTGGGTGATGCGTGAAAAAAAAAAAAAAAAAAAAAAAGCAGGTCTAACTAGCCATTTCCCAAAGACAATTCTTGCAGGTCTCGGGATTGTGAATATACATCTTTTACCCACCCACACACTTGGCAAACTGAATTATCTGTAGGCTTTACTAGACATTAATAGAATAAAACAAAACCATAATCCTGCCAAGGAATATGATATATGTGCCAGTTTTGGAGCCGGTGGAGCCTACAGTAAGTAGCATGTTGCATTTCTATGAGATACACCATGAAATCAGCATGCTCATCTCTGTGCCTTCTTGAACTCAGGACAGTCATCCAAATGGAGAAATAGTACAGTCACAAGTACAGAAACACACTATGATTTGTCCTGGTATGAGAACCTGTGCCTAGTCTTTAAAAGCATTCTCATTAAGTGGAGCAAGTCACTCTATACCCACAGTGGCAGATATGCTCATGATGAGCCAACTAATTGTTTAGCCCATTCGTCAGTGGCAAACAGGTGCCACTGAATGTTTGTGGCTATCAAGCAGATTGTTTTAAAGGGCAACAGAAAGGAATGTCTGTAGATGGACTTTCTATTCCCCCTGGTTCCACAGCCATTTAGTCCCAAATAAACACCAGAGAGACACCATGTAGCTACTGGGAAGATAGGATGCCAGGCATTTTCCAGCAAGCCTAGACTATGTGAAGATACTTAGATTAATAGAAATGGGTTAATAATTAAGAAAGAACTAGACAATAAGAAGCCTGAGCCATTGGCCAAACAGTTTATAATTAATATAAGCCTCTCTATAATTAATATATAGATATTTGGGACTAAACAGCTTCAGGACCAGGTGTAACAGAAACTCTGTCTACAAATGTCTATGAAACAGAAACAAATATGGAACACGAAACAAAAGGTTTTCACTTCCCACTATCTCTACAGAGTAACCTCCCTGAGAAATGAGCATAGGTACAATGATCACCACCTCCATGGCACCAAGCCTTCCTTTCAATGCCTCCCAAAGCATACCTCCAGAGCTTTGTGAAGGCTTGAGTGAGATGGGCTGATACTTCTAAGTACTAGCTGATTTCATGAGCACCTTTTTTTTTATATATATATATATATATATATATATATATATATATTCTCTCATACATTACATCCTGACCTGTTTCTCTTCCCTCCCCTCTCCCCCAGATCCACTCCTCCTCTGAGAAGGCCTCCCAGATAGAACACATGCACATGGCATATCAAGTTACAATAAAATTCATATCAAGCCCTCATATCAAAGCTGGATAAGGCAAAGGGTCCACTAGAGGAAAAGGGTTCCAAGAGCAAGCAAGAGTCAAAAATACCCCTCCACTCCTGTTAGGAGTCTCACATGAACAACAAGCTATGCAACCATAACATATGCAGAGCACCAAAGTCAGACCTATACAGGATCCCTGATTGTCACTTCAGTCTCTGTAAGCCCCTATGAGCCTGGGTAAGTTGATTCTGTGGTCCAAATTCTTTATAAGCATCTTTCACTCCTTTATTCCACCTACATGTGTCTAAAATTTACCTCCATGCTGGATAGAGCAATGAGAATCATGCATTCATCTTTTTGGACACTTACAGTAAAATTTCGTAGGGCAACTATAACTGTTCCTGTTATAGAGCCAAGGAAATGGAAACTTGAAAAATGGCCACAGACTGGATGAGGCGAGAATGAGAACCCAAACTGTCGGATGGCTAAGCCCATCTGGGGGCAGTAATGTATGAACCAAAAGACCCGCCCCCATCACTCTAGGACAGTGAATGAGTCCCAACTACTAGAAGGCAACATAGTGCAATTTTGGCTGCAAATCCAGAAAAGGCCAGCAGGCTCTGCTGGACACAGAGTTCTGGTTTCTGTTTATTATTTTCTGGGCAGGCTTTCCCACTTAATCACATAGACATTCTTT